ACTTTTAGTTCACTTGAGTCCTCTGTATGGCCCATGGATACTCAGTGTAGTACATTGATTTGGTTTTATGACTATTAGCAACATTTTACTGATTTATGGAGGTTGACTTGTCCACAGTCAGGTGAGAGCTGGGATTTAATCCAGATATTCTGACTGCCATCCCAATGAGAGATGGGTCAATCTTATCATTCATTCATACATTCTTTACACAAAACTTTATTGGTACTTATGATGTACCAGGTATTCTTCTAGCTATTGGAGACATATCAACAAACAAAAGTGATAAGAATCTCTACCCTTTGGAGCTTACATTCCAGTGGGGCAGAGGGGAAACAATGGTAGATAACATAAGTAAATTCTGTAGTATATTAGATGGTAGTAATGTATATTTGAAAAAGAGTAAGCAGGTAAAGGGAATTGGGAAAACAATTTTATACCTCTTAGGAGGAAGAAATGAATTAATTTTTCAATTTTGTCTCAGAAATTATGTCAAAATGATAGGTTTTCTCCTAAGCCTTTCCAAGCAGGTAGCTTGGAAAAAGTGTTCTACTCTTCCCCTCCCTCCCCACTACTCAGAACATTGCTTTAAAAGATGGCTACATTACAAGATCAACTTACAGAGTCCTACTTAATTCATTATGTAGCTCAGCTGTGGTTCAATAATAGTGGTATAGACCTAACCAGTCCTTACAGTGGGTTTTCTCCCCAGTCTGGTAAACTGTATCCCATGCTCCAGCTGCAGGTGACAGTAACGTCATCGTTTCATGCTGCTCTTTTACTTTGGGGGTAAGCAACTCCCTCTCCCTTCACATCATCCAATATTGTGCAGCAGAGACTTCCTTCCATTAAAGATACTGATAGTGGCTTCTTCACTGCCAGAAGTAAGGGGACGATCTTGGGAAATGATTATGGATTTAAAAGAGGAAGAGACAGAGCGTAGGCTGCTGTTTTCACAGGAAATAGGAAGGTTGACAGCTGGAAGGAATTGTAGAGGAGTCCCAGTTGGGATCAGGAGGGAGGAAAAGGGAGACCCTGGTCTCACAGGAGGGTCGAGTTATTGGGATGTTGATGAGTCAAGCCTGGTCGCTCATCACGCAGTATGCAGGTTTGTGAAGATAAATTTCTGAGATGGATTTGCCTATGCCTTCTTGCTTAATTTCTTTTTTGCTTTTTCTTTATTTTATTTCTCCCTTTCCTTTTCTTTTTTCAGGGTCTTGCTCTTTTGCCCAGGCTGGTCCAGTGGTGCAGTCATAGCTCACTGCTGCAGACTCAAGCTCATGGGCTTGAGTGATCCTCCTGCCTTAGTCCTCTGAGTAGCTAGGACCACAGGCATGCTCCACTATGCCTATCTAATTTTTAAATTTTTTTATAAAGATGGGATCTTGTGATGTTGTCCAGGCTGGTCTTAAGCTCCTGGCCTCAGGCGATCCTCCCATGAGCCACCATGCCTAGCCTCACTTAATTTTCATAAAGCTCGAAATCATTATCTATCTAATTTTGGCTTTTTACATGCAAGCAACTGGTAGTTTAGTAATGAGTTTTTGAAAAAATATAGTAGATATACTTTTTACATATTTGTTTAACAGCATCCTCACAAGAAATTTAAAAATAAAAAAATCTGATGTACTCTTAATTTTAAAATAGATTTCTTTTTTAATACATTATTTTTAATAAACCTTTGAGGGAATGTGTTCTCTTACCAAGTCCACAAGAAGGCATAGTTTTAAGGGCAAGAATTTCCCAGCACTGTGCCCCCCTCCCATCTCTCTCCATCCAGGATATTTAACAGTTTATGTTTGAATTTCACGGGCATAGGAAGAATCAAAAGTCAGTCACTCCAGCGGAAGTTTAAAGGAACTCCTTTCATTGGCCAGAGGAACTTGGGAAGGTGGGAATTTCTCCAAGGATAAATTTCGCTGCTCCTTCACCCATACCAGATTTCCAGCTCTCTGGGATTCCCTCCCACATAGTGGGAGCTCTCTTTCTCCTCTTGGATTTCCCCTCTGGAATCTACTTCTACATCTTCATGGAAGTCTTTCTCTTCTTATTCTTTTCTTCTCTTTTCTCTACCTAAATAAAATAACCTTTCTGCAACACTTCTTGGGTCTAGTATTTTATGAGTGTACAGCACACCTGCAGTGATCCCTTCTCTTATTCTTAAGAGGGCAGAGACCAAGAATCCACAGCATTCTCTCAGGGGAGCCGTGCCTCACCAACACCTCAAAAAAACTTGGTTACAGGTTTTATAATCAGCATACTTTCATTTTTTTCTTAAATATTATACTACAAATATTGTTGCATAACTTCAAAAATTGTCATTTAGTAGCCATATAATGCTGGCTAATATAATAAAATTTGGTCTGTTGATAAATAGGTATTTGAGTGTTTATTTGTTTACCTTGTGTGATACTTGGAAATATGGCTTGCCAATAGAAATGCATTATGCTTTCAATTAGCTTGTAGTCTCATTCATAAACCAATGTAGATACAATTCAGCAATGATAAGGTGAGATCTCCCTTTGCAAAGAGATTTTTAATTTGGAAAAAGAAGGGATTTGTAGGACAGTGAGATAGAAGACTTTATGAAAAAACTAGATGGCTTTGTGGAGAAATACAATTTTTCTAGTTATTACCAGTTCAACTGCTACATCCCTATCCAGGCCATCAGCATGCTGTGTGGCTTTCCTTTTCCCTGTTTTTCCCTTACAATCTATTTGCTATACAGGTGCTAGAGTAAAAAGCAATTCACATCAAGTGACTCTTCTGCCCAGAACCCACCAGTGGTTTCTCAGGTCATTTATAAGGAACCCCAGAGTCCTTAATTGTATAGCCTATGAAGTTCTGTATGATCCACCTCTTAGCTGCCTCTCTAACCTAATTTCTGACTTGTTTTCCTTACCCACACTCTTTCTTGATGCTGGCCCCATTCCTATACCTCACACACTCCCAGCATGGGCTTACATTACAATCTTTGTTAATTGCTGTTTCCTCTACCTTGAAAGTTTGTCTCTGCAGTATTTCCCTGGCTTGCTCTCATTTCCTTTGGATCTCTGCTCACATGATCGCCTTAGAGAGGGACCTTCCTGAAAATGATAGAACGATTTTCTGGAGTACATTCCCTCACTCCCCAACTCCTTTCCAGTCTGTTTTTTCTCCATAGCATCTTTTCACCTGACATTGTATTGCTGTATCTTTTTGCTTTTTATCTCTGGAAAACAAGCTCCATGAGATCACAAAGGGATTTTGCTTTATTCTTCACTGTATGTCCCCTTCTAATACAGTTCCTGGAATACAGGTGGGGCTTTATAAATATTTGTTGGGTAAATGAAAGAATGTATTAAAATATGATTGTAAATCTTTTTTCTTTCCACGATTTAATGATGTGGAATTGAAAACAGGTCTACATAGATGATAATGATGATAATCAGCAGCATTCCTGAGTATGTCTAGGATCTGCATTTGGTCTAGAAAAGCTCTCTCTTCTGCCCTCCTTTCCCACCCATGCATATCCATTTTCTTTGGGATGAAACCCAATCTCCTTTGTCTGGCAGTCTCTGTTGATCTTTCTAGCTTTACTTCTACCAAGTCATTCCCCTCATAACCTGTGCTGCAGTCATATTGAGTGACTTATAGTTCCCCTCCTGTGGCCCTTGCAGATGTTTCTTGCATTGCTTCCTACCCAGACTCGTATCATGCTTTTGGTTTAAGTGTCTTGAAGAACATGAAGACTGAGTAAGGGGCAGACTCTGTAGAGAGATCCGCTACATCCTGTCACTTATTTGTTAATGGGTTTCTCCTCACAGTGCATAAGCTCTTCAAAGGAAGAGGCCTGGTATATCTTTGTATTTTTAGGATATAGCACAGTTCTTGTGTATTGTAGATGGTCAATAAATACTTATTCAATATGAAAGATGGTTTTTGCCTCCCAAAGACTAGTGGTAACTTGAAATTGTTGAATATAGGACAGATAAACTGATAGGAGCAGTTTCACCTCATTAAAGGGCTTGGATATAAGTGTGTCCAGGGACAAATATAATAAAAAAGAGAGCAATATTATGATATCCTTAAAAAAAAAAAAAAAAAACAGAGAGAGACAGGATCTTGATGTATTGCCCAGGCTGGTGCAGTCATGGCTCACTATAACTTTAAATTCCTGGGTTCAAACTGTTCTCCTGCCTCAGTCTCCTGAATAGCTAGGACTACTGGCGTGTGCCACCATGCCAGCTAATTAAAAAAATTTTTTTGTAGAGATGAGTTCTCACTCTGTTGCCCAGGCTGGTCTCAAACTCCTGGCCTCAAGTGATTCTTCTGGCTCAGCCTCTCAAAGTGCTGATATTACAGGTGTGAGCCACTGTGCCTGGTTAGAATATCCTAACTTTTAGCAAGATCATACCTGAAGTGAGGAAGAATGGCATATAACATGGTTGAATCAGCACACTTAACTATGAAAGATAGCCTAAGTGGAAGAAAGGGTTATTTGACAGATGTTATTTAGAAAGAAGTGGAACCATTTGGCAGTGGACTGACTATGTGGGCATTAGTTCTTTATTTAGTCAGTGAGAGTCATGCAAGGTGGTGAGCCTGCTGATAATGAGGAAATAATACAGAGGGGAGAATTCAGGGCAGTGATGACATGTTCATGTTCTTGCTATTTTGGACTTAATAATAACATGAGTGTTGAGGGTTAGGGTATTGTTAGCCTGGCTGCTCCTGGTTCAGTGGGACAGAATGCTATGAAAATTGAGACGTGTCTGTCTGGTGCGCGTGGGAGGAGAAAATGGCTGTATTTGGTTCTATATATTTGTCATCCCTGGTCGATGGTTTGTATTTTCTATGATGGTTTGTGAGTGACAATGGATCTATATTCAATTTACCCAGTATAGCTGAAACTGTGAAAATATTTTATGTAATTTTGCAAATATATATTTTGTTAAAATATGACCATATAGAATCAAATAGGCTATAGATGTTAAAAGATAACTTTTTTTTGTCTAAATCAGGTTTGTTACAGAAAGAGAAAGTGGCAGTTGAAGCATTTCAGATTTGCTGCCTTCTCCTGCCTCCTGAAAATAGGAGGAAGTTACAGCTATTGATGAAGATGATGGCAAGGATTTGCTTAAACAAAGAGATGCCACCCCTGTGTGATGGCTTTGGCACCAGAACACTGGTAGGTTGATTTTTAACGTAAGATACGACTTTTTGGAATGAAAGTTGACTGAGTAAGGTGTGTTAGTTTGGGCGATCAGAGGGAAGTACAAAGCAGGCTTGCTTAAAAGAACCACAGTCCCTGTCCACCCACACTTATATCATGCTTTTGGTTTAAGTGTCTTGAAGAACATGAAGACTGAGTAAGGGGCAGACTCTATAGAGAGATCCGCTACATCCTGTCCTCCCACTTAAAATTATTTTACATGTATTGTTAATTGACAAATAATAATTGCATGTATTTGTGGGGGTATAATATGATGTTTTAATCTATGTATACATTATAGAGTCAATCAAGCTAATTACAATATTCATCTTTTTTGTAATGAGAACATTAAAAATCTATTCTTTTGGTAATTTTGAAATATACAATACATTGTTATAACTGTGGTCACCATGCTGTGCACTGATCACTAAGACTTACTCCTCCTGTCTTGCTGGAGCTTTGTACCCTTTGACCAGCATCTTCCATTTCCATGTCCCTGTACCCCCAGCCTCTGGTAACCACCATCTAATGTCTGCTTCTGTTAGCATATGTTTTTAAAGAGAGTTTATTTTAGAACCTACTTACTGGCAAAATCTCTTAATTTTTCTCAAAAAATGTCTTGGGGCAAAATTGGTGCTTCAGTGAAATGCATGTGCTTTCTATATCCCACTAAACCACTGTGTAGAGATTTACTGGCCCAGTTTAAGAAAAATAGAGTGAGATCAGAGGAGCACTCAGTGCCCAGTAGGATTCTTGATCTCTTTATTTTTTTAGGGTGAGTGCATGGCTAGAGAGGCTAATGGACCTTTTTGAAAAGCTGAAGAAAACTTTATATCTATTCTGCATATAGAATATATGTGTAAAACTTTGCATGCAGTTTCAAGGCAATCACAGAGTCTCTGGGGTCCATGGTCTCCAGGCAAAAAAATCTCTGTCTGAGTGTCTCTCTGTACATGTAAATGTAAGTGAAGATCATTTGCAGTGTGTTAATGAAATGAAGTCTTACTAAGCAGAATTACATGATTTTATGCATGAAGATTTTGAAGGAAGATTGTCAGTAATAAAATTAGTAGGAAAATAAAAAAAGCCAGTCCAAAGAATAGCATTAAGAATGGAGTAGTTAGGCCAGGTGTGGTGGCTCACGCCTGTAATCCCAGCACTTTGGGAGGCTGAGGCAGGTGGATAACCTGAGGTTAAGAATTCTAGACTAGCCTGACCAAAATGGTGAAATCCTGTCTCTACTAAAAATCCAAGAATTAGCTGGGTGTGGTGGTGGGCACCTGAAATCCCAGCTACTCAGGGAGACTGAGGCAGGAGAATTGCTTGGAACCAAGAGGTAGAGGTTGCAGTAAGCCGAGATCACACCACTGCACTCCATCCAGCCTGGACAACAGAGCAAGACTCCATCTAAAAAAAACAAAAAAGAAAAAGAAAAAGAATGGAGTAGTTAATATGAATTCTATAGAAATTATTATATTATATTGATGCTGTATTTTCTATTTCTGCTTGCTGCAAAGAGAGTCTCATCACTTAATGTACTATAAGATCCCATGGTTTTGTTCAAAGATGATGGTAAAATATGGATCCAAAGTCCTAGAGAAAATAAGTTAACTAGGAAAAGATGTAATGGTTGAGACATATGGACTGTGTTAGTGGTTTAAAACAAATCAATAATGAAATTAGGTTAAGTAATAATTGGCTATAAAGTGCTTTGAATTTAAAAGTGCTACATGGTTAAAGTCATGGTGATAATGATTTTCAAAATTTGTTTTCATATATTTATATGTGTGTATGTGTATATATATATATGTATGTGTATATATATATGTATATGTATATTTAAAATCATGTGTACAAGGAGGTAGCTTTAAAAATTGCTCAGATAAGCATCTCTCTGTAGTCTCTTAATGGGAAGATGCACATTTTGTATGTTCTGGTTGTTGAGACCTTCAGCCCATCTGAGATGACTGGATACTCTTGGTAGAATGTGTACCCTGTGCTTAAGACCATTTCTCATATTTGCTTTTTGCAAATTAGATTGGACTCAGTTCAGAAATTAGATTGGACTCATCTGTGTTTACCACCCCCCACCCCTCTTTTTTTAAAGATGGTTCAGACATTTTCCCGTTGCATCTTGTGTTCCAAGGATGAGGTGGACTTGGATGAGTTATTAGCTGCTAGATTGGTAACATTTCTGATGGACAATTACCAGGAAATTCTGAAAGTCCCTTTGGCCTTGCAGACCTCTATAGAAGAGCGTGTAGCTCATCTACGAAGAGTCCAGGTAAAGGAGAGGATATTATCAGTCCTATAAAATTGGCAGTAGAAAGTCATGTAAGCTTGCTAGGCTTCTTGGGGAATGTTATTATGAGAATCAAGTGAATTAATGTTTATAAAGGACTTATAACAGGTCTTGGCACATAGTGAGACCCTGCATGTGTTTGTATTATCGTTGAAAAGTTTACAAAATGCAAATTTGGTTTTGTTATATCAATCCATGTGGCATATTTTTTATTGCAAATTTCTTGAATGAGTTTGTTCAAAATCTACATATATGTACTGATGGAAATCATTTTATGTGCAATAAGTGTCTTGATTTGTAATTGCCCTGTGACCTAGTTTAATATTCCCACTTTTTGCATGAAAAAGCTGAGGCACAAAGAATTTAAATAACTTTGTTTAAGGTCACAGAGCCAGAATTCAGACTGAGGCAGTCAGGAATCGGTGCTCTAAACTATCATGCCATATTCCCTGTCTAAAAAACATAGTATGGTAGAAGAACCCTGGCATTAAAGCCATGAAACCCCGGCCAAACTCCAGCTGTATCCTTTTTGTTGTGTGACTCTGGGCAAGTCCCTTAACCTCTTCAGATTTTACTTTCTTTTCTCAGGTGTTAAAATGAGTCATTCTTACTTTATAAAGTTGTGAAGATTAGAACACTGAACTGTATAATTCCTAGTATGAATTTCTGACATATGTCCGGTACTCTTTGAAAGGGAGCTGCTGCTGTTGTCATAATGGTTATATAAAAACAATGCAAAAGAAATGTAATACATTACTATTGTGTGGGCCCCAAAGTGGGGTTTGTATGTCAGCCTGTGGGAGCAGAAACCTAGTAAAGGCAGGTAGAAGGTCCACTTGACTCCTTCTGACTGATTGGACCTCTTCTCGTTTGAGCTCTTTTTGAGGCTCCACAATTAAGGACCAGTGAACTGCCTCCTTCTGAGGTATTACAAAAATAATTAACTGTTCAGCTGTTTCTAGTATGCAATTTTAAAATTAACAATTTTTTTCTATTTTTTTTTTGTAATTATCAACCTAAAACATTGAAGAAACTTGGGAAATATAGAAAAAATACACCAAAAACTATCAGAGTTATCAGAGTTAAAATGTTCATAGTCAGTATTACAGTCTTTCAGATTTTTTTTCTGTGTGTCTGCCGTCTGTGTCCATACCTGCCTTACTTCCCTCTCTCCTGCCTCCCTCTCTCTCTCTCTTCCTCCCTCTCTCTCTCCTTCCCTCCCCTCCCCTCTCCTCCCCTTCCGTTCCTCCCTTCTACTTACATTCTCTTAACAAAGAAAAAAATTCCCCCATTATTAAATATCCATGATTGGCATTAGAGTGGCCAAGAGCACAGACTCAGGAGCCTTTGAATTCATGACATACCTTTTGTTAGCTGTGTGACCTTAGGCAAGTTATATAACGTCTCCACTTCAATATCTATCCCAACATCTCTCTTTCTCATCTGTAAAATGGGAATAATAGTAGTTAATATTTACTTCATAGGCTTTTTGGGGGGAATTAATACATGTGATTAATACATGTGGGCTTAATACATGTGAAATGCTGACAATAATGTTTATCACATTGTAAAACTACAATTGGTAGCTGCCATTGTTGGTATCATCATTATTGTTATATTATTTTATTATTATATTGTTGGCAACATAGTATTCCATAATATAGATATATACCTTAATATTTAATTGATACTTTTTGGTTGATATTTACATTGTTTCCATTCTTTCCCCCATTTTGGAAGCAGTATAGCAGTACCTATTTTATAGCGAGATTTTTTTTTTTGGCTAATTTGTGATTGTTTTCTAAGAATAAACTTCTAGAAGCAGCATTGCTTGGTCAAAGGCCATGAACATATTTTAAGTATTGATAGCATATTGCCAAATTTCTCTTTAGAATGATCATTTCAATTTACTTTTTTGTCATTAATATAAGAAAATAAGTGTTGTCTTTGTACCTTTGCCTACTTTGGATATTGTCATTAACACTCATACATACCTTTGCCACTGGCATGGGTGAAAAGTGTAATCTTTTTTTTTTTGAGACGGAGTTTCGCTCTTGTTACCCAGGCTCCCAGGCTGGAGTGCAATGGCGCGATCTCAGCTCACTGCAACCTCCGCCTCCTGGGTTCAAGCAGTTCTCCTGCCTCAGCCTCCTGAGTAGCTGGGATTACAGGCACGCGCCACCGTGCCCAGCTAATTTTTTGTATTTTTAGTAGAGACGGGGTTTCACCATGTTGACCAGGATGGTCTCGATCTCTTGACCTCGTGATCTTAACCACTGTTTTTGTTTAATCTTTTTTCCTCTGGTGTTTTTATGAACCAAACCTAAAGAAAATAAAAATGAACAGAAATACTTCACCAAGTTTCTGCAAGAAAATGTTATAGCAATGTATTAGTCTGTTCTCACGCTGCTAATAAAGACAGACCCAAGACTGGGTAATTTATAAAGGAAAGAGGTCTAATTGACTCACAGTTCAGCATGGCTGGGGAGGCCTTAGGAAACTTACAATCATGGCAGAAGGGGAAGCAAACACATTCTTCTTCACAAGGCAGCAGGAGAGAGAAGTGCCGAGCAAAAGGGAGAAAAGCCTCTCATAAAACCATCAGGTCTCATGAGAACTCACTTACTATCACAAGAACAGCGTGGGGGTATAACTGCCTCTGTGATTCAATTACCTCCCATCTGACACAACTTGTGGGGATTATGGGAACTACATTTCAAGATGAGATTTGAGTCAGGACACAGCCAAACCATATCAAGAAATAACTATGTTGCCCTGTATACTTGCTAGGTTTGTGTATTCACATGTATAGCACAGGCATATATTGTAGTAACTTAGCCTTGTGAGCCCTTTGTTATTACTTGAAGTTCAGAAGGCTGAACAATGGTGATTAATTTAACTGCAGGTAAACATGATCTATGAAGAGACACTGCAGTGTGCTCTGAATAAAATCAGTAGTGATTCAATTGTCCAGTTACCTTTTCTCTCTTGCAAGTACACAGTGGAATTGCCAAGCAGTTGTTCCTTTCAGCACTCAGAACCTATAGATCTTTGTTCTCTAGATTATGCTTCTACGCCTCTACATTGTATCACATTTAGGGCAGTGCTTCTCTGAAAATGCAGTGATGCTTGGATTATTCCTATGATTGTTTTGGGACAGTTTCAGGGCTGACTCTGGAATACATTATGATGTAGGCAATGTTTTTGACACAAGTCTTCTATAAGCCTTATCTGCAACCTTCTATTTGAAAAGACTCCAGGCTCTGAAATTAAATATTTTTAATGTATATTCATTTATTCACAGGTCCTGGTCTCCTTTTTTCTCTTATTTCTCCCTTTTCCCTTCTCCCTTCTGCAGTGTCTGCACATTTGTTGTTTTACTTGATTCTTACTGGTAAGATGTTAGGAAATGGTTGTAGTAACCCTCTCTTCCTAAAAGCTTAGCTAAAGGCGGGCCACTACTATCCCCAAGGCATTGAGAATCAGACTCTTCGGATGTGGGAAGGAGCCTGGATAGTCCCAGTGGATGTCCAACATTATCAGTGTTTTGAATCATTTTAGTCACTATGTTTAATTTATGCTTGAATTTCAGATCTTGTTAAAAGACTGCACAGGTTTTTTTGTTGTTAAAAGGGATCTTGGGTTTACAAAGGCAAAAATCCTATTTAAAACTGTGGATTTAAATAATAATACTTTGAAGTTATGGAAATACTTTTACTTTTCAATATAGGGTTTCCCCCAATCAAATTTTGAGAACTAACATGGCATCCCTACAGTACAAGGAGATACCCCATATTTGATCTAAACTAAGTCTTTTTGGTTTGTTTGTTTGTTTTTGAGACAGTCTTGCTCTGTTGCCCAGGCTGGAGTACAGTGGTGCAATATCAGCTCACTGCAACTTCTGCCTCCTGGGTTCAAGTGATTCTCCTGCCTCAGCCTCCCGAATAGCTGGGACTATAGGCCCATGCCACAACACCTGGCTAATTTCTTGTATTTTTAGTAGAGACAGGGTTTCATCACGCTTGCTAGGATGGTCTCGATCTCCTGACCTCATGATCCTCCCGCCTCAGCCCAAAGTGTTGGGATTACAGGCGTGAGCCACGTGCACAGCCAATCTGAACTAATTCTTATAATTTATTTGAAAATATGCTATATTCTTTCAGTACTAATCCTTTTGCCTCAGATAAAATACCCAGGAGCCGATATGGATATCACTTTATCTGCTCCATCATTTTGCCGTCAAATTAGTCCAGAGGAATTTGAATATCAAAGATCGTACGGCTCTCAAGAACCTCTGGCAGCCTTGTTAGAGGAAGTCATAGCAGATGCCAAACTCTCCAGCAAAGAAAAGAAGAAGAAACTGAAGCAGGTAAAAGGATATTTCTCATAAGTAATTTTTTCTCCTCCCTACTGTTTTTATTTTTTTATTTTAATAGACTTCATGTAAATCTCATCTACTGAGACATAGCAGTTTTCTAAGTATATTAGGTCATATATTCCAGAAGTCTAATGGATTTACACAGTTGTGGTCAGTTTCCTAGAGATCTGTATTCTTTAGTGTAAATCTTTTACCATTGCCAAACTTCATTTACGTTGCTATTCTCTAATATTTGTCCTTTGTTTTGGTATATGGCATGATGTGAATTAGCAGAACATCTACCTTAATTTCAGAGAAAGTATCAGCGAGGGCAGATTTCTTCTCATATTTTAGAAAGGCAAATCAGCTGGAATTCACAGGTATAAAATGTCTAGAGTTTAAAAGCTGTTTGGGGCCGGGCGCGGTGGCTCAAGCCTGTAATCCCAGCACTTTGGGAGGTCGAGGCAGGTGGATCACGAGGTCAAGAGATCGAGACCATTCTGGTCAACAAGGTGAAACCCCATCTCTACTAAAAATACAAAAAATTAGCTGGGCATGGTGGCGCATGCCTGTAATCCCAGCTACTCGGGAGGCTGAGGCAGGAGAATTGCCTAAACCCAGGAGGCGGAGGTTGCGGTGAGCCAAGATCGCGCCATTGCACTCCAGCCTGGGTAACAAGGGCAAAACTCCGTCTCAAAAAAAAAATAAATAAATAAAGCTGTTTGGTTTTAGATAACCACTATCAAATTAGTTTCTTGCCTCAGGTATCACTACAAGTATTTCATTTCTCTTATGTTAGGGAACACAGCTTAGGGTTCCAGAGAATCATTTTTAACTCACCATATGTTAGTTTTGACTGTTCATAAAGATTGATCCATGATCAGATGAGTGGGTTTTTTGTTTTTAAAGACTGAACTCTACATAGCTGGATTTCAGGTCACATGGTACATGTGGGATTACACATAGAGCAGCAGAGTTCTGGGCTTCTAGTCATATTGTCCTCAGAGTCATTTTGGAGGATAGTTTGGTGGTGAAGATCAACAGAAAGTATACTGCCTCTTTTTAAGCTTTTCACAAAGTAATATACACCAGAATATTCCCTGTTCCATTTGGGCAGAAGCTAGTGGGGCTGAGTTGGAGAAACAGAGAAATAGTGAAATGTAATTGGGCCAAAATTTTATTTAACTGTGTAGAACAGATGTTATTTTGAAGTCAGAGTTCCTTGTGAATATTTAAAAAGTAAGATCTATTTATATTTGGCAGTGGGGGAAATTTTAAGAAACATGATTAAAAGGGGAACTTTATTTGAAGCTTAGATCAAAAAGGAAAGATGAATTAGCTCTATAGAAATTGGAATCAAATGTTTTAACAAAAATAAACAAAAACAGGAAAATACAGGCTCAGGAACTCTTAAAATTTGGCCGCCTAATTTTATTGGCTTTTATGTGTCTTGTTTTACTCTTCTTGGACCGTTCATTTTTTTAGTTTCAGAAATCCTATCCTGAAGTCTACCAAGAACGATTTCCTACACCAGAAAGCGAAGCACTTCTGTTTCCTGAAAAGCCCAAACCAAAACCACAGCTGCTAATGTGGGCACTAAAGAAGCCTTTCCAACCATTTCAAAGAACTAGAAGTTTTCGAATGTAATTAATACTTCCATAGCAACAGGAGTTAGAGACCACTGTTGTTGTTTTGAGTGAATGGTTGTTAAGAGAAAGACTATGGTGGTGGAAGAAAGAAAAGCATAAAACAAAGACTACTGAAATATAGATAAAGATTGCCTTACTTTTAAAAAAAAAGTCGAACCATTAGTATTTTTATAAAACTCAATGCTATTTTTAAAGTGTACAAATCAGTTAAAATTTATGAGTCAAATATATAGTGATAATGTTAACATGTTTGTAATTGTTACAAAATTTAAGGGTATTTTTTATATCTTTGTTTTATTCTTCGTGGTGTTTATTAAATAGTTGTTTGTATCTATATCCTAGTTACTGATATCTTTATTAAAGCCTTAAGACTTAACTTTAAGTCTTAAAAATAGTATGTATACTTGAATAAGAAAGACACTGGGTGCTGTTACTGTGATGCTTTTGACTTAGTAGCCAATTGTGATTTCTCCTGTATAAATTCCAGTTTTTATTGTCGCACACAAATTTTTTAATGTCCTGTATTGTGATGGCTGTGTCCTTTATTGCAGATTTATTGGATGTTATGACAGATTTTGCTAAAGCTGGTGTTTTTATAACATATATATTCATTGATATTTACCTGTAAATGGAGTAGATTTTCATCTGCCTGCGATGGTATAATTTCAGTCTTAGCGAAAGATGAAAGGTTGAGCTGGATCAATTCTTTGGTTACCCTTAGACCTGTGATTCTAAGTCAAACATAAATGAGTTAAATAAAATGAGGCTACTTCCTTTCTAAATATATTTTCATCCTTTTGAAAGTAAGTGAAATGTAAATAAATACCATCTATTTTTTTTTTAAATGCCATACTTTGTGTTTCTTTTTTGGCATTTATTTAGATGAGTTAGAGAGCATCCTCAAATGCCTTTACTAGTGGTCTCACGTCAGCCATTTATTTCTGTGAGAAAGTAAAAAGTAAGATTTGGGCTTTTGCACTGACTGTCCTTTAGGTGAGCACTTTGTCAATTTTTTAGTGTTGCTTTGCCCTTTTATAAAATTGTGGTTCACTTGGATTATGGAGCACCTGAAAGTCTTCCTCTGAGCACAATTCCCCAAAAAGCTGAGAGTGACACCCACTAGTTGGCTTGCAGTACTCCTTGGACTGATTTTTCCTTGCACCAACGATTTGCTCCTGTTCTCTTGTAGCAAAATACCTCCTACGACTGATGCAGATTTTGCTTTTAAAAATATATCAAAGTATTCCTGTTCATTTGGGTACCGCCATACAGTCCAAATATGTAATGTAATGGGCAATTTTTAGTGTTTGAGGATTCATTCTCAGACTTTGGCATTCTGTTTAGAGCAAAGAATAATTCTTCTTTCTGCTTTATTTAAACTCCAAGGTAGAGTTTATTTTTCAGAATCTCTTTTCCTGTTGCTGTATTTGGAAGTTTATGTGGATTTTTGCTCCTTTTTTTGTTTCATTTTTAGACTACCTATAGAAAAAAGTATAACATACTTATGGAGAGATCATAAAACATAAGCACCACTTAAATGTGAAATTGAAAAATAGATAATAGCAATTATCCAAAGTGGTTGTGCCAATTAATACTCCCATTAACAGTGTATGCGAATTCCTCTTGTTTAATATCCTCATCAAGATTTGCTATTGTCAGAGTCTGAAATGTTGTCAGTGTGGTGAGTATTAATAGTGTCTGATTATGGTTTTATTTTATTTTCATGATTATTGATATGGCTGAACATTTTTTCCCTTTTTTTTGACTTTTTCATCTTTGTACATATTTTAATATCAGACTGTCAAACCTGTACACACACAAAGACACACGTACACCCCTTGTTTAATTTTCTTAAAATTTTGATTGTATTTAATCTATAGATCAATTTGCAGAGAATTGCTATCTGCAATATTATGTCTTCTAGTCCATGAACATGGCTTACCCATTCATTTATTTGAAATAAGTTAGAAAAAAGTTGTTTTTTCTGTAAATATTTGAAAATCTTTTGTTAGATTGTTCCCAAGTATTTGCTACTTAAAAAAAATGTTAGTATCAAAATTTTCAGAGGATAGTACCCATCTCTTGCTTCCACAGTTATTCAGCTGATCAGTGTTTATGTTCAATTCTTTTATAAATGATGGTGGTGTAAAATTTCCTTGTACTGTTTGTTGCTTGTATATGATATAAAACTGATTTTTGTTTCCTGAGTTTTGTATCCAGTGGAACCTTGTTAGACTTACTTATTAATTCTAAATATTTAATGTGATTCTTTTGCATTTTCTGCATACCAGGAAAAAACAGCATTTGCTTTTCCTTTCTAAATTGTCCTCAGTAATCCTTGTTTCCTGGTATTTAATATCTTGTGTAATCTCCTGTTCTTGAGTGTGGATTGAGCTAAAATGACACATTTCTAAAGAACAGAATACATCATCAGTGATGGGCTATCACTTTAGAGATTAGATTCCAAAAAGACTGTGGCTTCCATCTTGCTTGTCTTCCTTCTTATTCTCTCTGGCTTGCTCTTAGGAAAGCCAGCTGTCATGTTGTGAGCTGCCCTTTCAAGAAGCCCATCAGGCAAGGAACTGATGTCTCTGGCCAACAGCCAGCTTGTGCAGGAAGCCTGCCGACAGCTTTATGAGTGACCTTGAAAGTGGGTCTTTCCTTGGTTGAACCTTGAGGTGACTCTAATCCCAGCTGACACCTTGATGGAGACTTGAAAAACTCTGAGCTGGAGGATTTAGCTAAGCTGTGCCTGGATTACTCCACAGAAACTGTGGTATAATGTTTATTGTTTTAAGCCACTTAACTGATAGTAATTTGTTATAAAGTGATCTAGATACAATATGCTTTCCAATCTTTATTGCCTGCCTGCCTCTCTCCCTCCCTCCTTTTCTTCTTTTTTGTCTCAGGCACTGGAGATCTTCAGTACAGCAGTTCCTGGTTTTCCTTTATCTTCTGTTTCACTTTGTACAGTTTCAGTTAGCGATGCTCAACCAGAGCCAGAAAATATTAAATGGAAATTTCCAGAAATAAGTGATTTGTAAGTTTTAAATTGTGTGCTGTTCTTACAGAATGATGACATCTTGGACCGCCCTTTGTCCACTCTGAACATGAATCATCCCTTTGTTTGGTGGATCCGTGCCTGGTAGACCAGGTGCATTGTCAATGAGCAATAATATTTTGAAAGGAATCTTTATTTATTTATTTAGCAGCAGATCTCAATAGTGGGCTTAAAATGTTCAGTAAAATGTGTTGTAAATAGATGTACTGTTATCCAGGCTTTGTTGTTTCAATTATAGGGCACAGGCAGAGTAGATATAGCATATTTCTTAGGGGCCCAAGGATTTTTTGAATGATAAATAAGCACTAGCTTCAACTCCCAACAGAAGAGTCAGCTTATTCTTTGAAGTTTTGAAGCCAGGCATTGGCTTCTTTCTAGCTAGAAAGTCCAAGATGACATCTTCTGTCAATAGAATGCTGTTTTATCTACAATGAAAAGTTATTGTTTAGTGCAGTTACCTTCATCAGTGATCTTAGCTAAATCTTCTGGATAACTTGCTTCACCTTGCACTTTTCAGTTATGGAAGATGGCTTCTTTCCTTAAACCTCATGAACCAAGCTCTGCTAGGTTTCAACTTTTCTTCTGCAGCTTCCTTGTCTCTCTCAGCTTTTATAAAATTGAAGAGTTAGGGCCTTGCACTCTATTAGGCTTTGCCTTAAGGGAATGTTGTGGCTGGTTTTATCTTCTGTCCAGACCACTCAAACTTCATAAGGCTGCTTAGCTTTTGTGTCATATGTGTGTTTACTGGAGTGGTCCTTTGAATTTTCCTCAAGAACTATTTCTTTGCACTCATAACTCGGCCCACTGGTGCAAGAGGCCTAACTTTCAGCCTGTCTTGGCTTTCAAAATACCTTTCTCATTAAGCTCAAACATTTCTAGCTTTTGATTTAAAGAGAGAGACGTGCAACTCTTTCACCTGAACACTTAAAGGCCATTGTAGGATTATTAATTGGCCTGATTTCAATATTGTTGTGTCTCAGGGAATAGGGAAGCCCAATGAGAGGGAGATTGATGGGGGAATGGCTGGTGGGTAGAGCAGTCAGAACACATACATTTATCGATTAAGTTCTCAGCTTTATATAGGTATAGATTGTGATACCTCCAAACAATTACAATAGTAACATTAAGTTCACTGGTCACAGATCACCATAACAGATGTAATAGTAATGAAAAACCTTCAAGTATTATAAGAATTACCAAAATGTGACTCAAAGACATGAAGTGAGCACATGTTGTTGGAAAAATGGCACCGTGAGATTTTTTTCAATGCAGGGTTGCCACAGACCTTCAACTTGTGAAATATGCAGTGATCTGGATACAATATACAATATAATCTGTAAAGTGCAATAAAACCAGGTATGCCTGTGTATGTAGTGTTCATTACTATATGGTTTTAGGGCTGGGCATGGTGGCTCATGCCTGTAATCCCAGCAGTGGTCAAGGCCAAGATGGGAGGATTGCTTGAAGCCAGGAGTTTGAGATCAGCCTGGCCAACTTGGTGAAACTCCATCTCTACTAAAAATTTAAAAATTAGCTAGGTGTGATAGTGTGCTTCTAGTCCCAGCTACTCTGGAGGCTGAGACACCAGACTCACTTGAACCGGGAAGGCGGAGGTTGCAGTGAGCCTAGATCACACCACTGCACTCCAGCCTGGGTGACAGAGTGAGACCCTGTCTCAAAACAAAACAAAACAATATGGTTTCAGGAACCTATAGGGGTCTTGGCATATCCCTAGCAAATAAGGGGATGTTACTGTATAATGTGGAATAGAGTGGGGATCGCAGCAGCATCACCTTGTGCCTGATTTCAAAAAGGAAGATTTTAGCATTACAACATTTGTAGATACCCTTTTATAATGTTAAAAGAAATTTTTTCTATTTCTATTCTATTGTCATAACATTTTTGTTGCTTGTTTTAGCCATAACTTGATCTCAAATCTTAATCAACTGCCTTTCCTACCTTTGTTGAGGATTTTATAGGTTCTATCTTTTAGTCTATCATTCCACTTTGCATTTTGGGAGTGGCATAAATAGTATTATGATGTATTATTTGAATATAGATAGATAGATAGATAGATTGATAGATTCTGTTGCTAGTATTTATAGTTCTTAATCATGAGTAAAATTGTTCATGAGTAAAATTGGCCGAAAAATTTCCTTCTCTTACTATCTTTGTTGACTTTCTGATTAAGGTTATAAATTAAGCTGAAAATTACTCCCTTTTTCTGTATATGGTTGGAATGATTTCTTTCTTGATTCTTGGGTGGAACTTAGTTAACTTAAACATTTTTTTAAATTTAAATTTAAAATTTTTTAAAAATTATACTTTAAGTTCTGGGGTACATGTGCAGATCTTGCATGACTGTTACATAGGTATACACATGCCATGGTGGTTTGCTTCCTCCATCCCCCTGTCACCTACATTAGGTATTTCTCCTAATGTTATCCCTCCCCAATCTCCCCACCCCCTGCTATACCTTCCCCAGCACCCCAACCCACAACAGACCCTAGGGTGTAATGTTTCCCTCCCTGTGTCCATGTGTTAATGTAATTACACTGAAGTCAGAAAAATGGTTTGTGTAATTGTTGAGACTTGTTTCATAGCCTAGTATATGGTCAATTTTTGTTAATATTCTGTGCACATGAATATGAATTTTGCAGTGATTATAGTTTTTCTGTCTATATAAAATCTTGTTTACATTTTCTACATTCTTACTGATTTATTTTGTCTGCAGTGTGTGTGTGTGTGTGTGTGTGTGTGTGTGTGTGTGTGTGTGTATTTTTTCATCT